AAACTCTGATAAAACTACGCTTTTCTTTTTTAGGTTACCCCACAAAAATTGTTTATGCATCCCGCATGGAAAATGTAGTGGGTAACTTCCCCAATATCTTTGGCCCTCCTCCCTCCATTCCATTCACTCGCACACAGACATACACAACTCTCTCTTATTCAAAACATTGTGTGCAAAACCGTGTTTCCATGAGCGCATTTTCTGCAGGGGAAAGTTTCACAAGATTCATACTCCATTATAAAAGTCCATGTGAAGACTTCTACAAGGCAGCTAACATCACTTGTACCACCGCTCAATATCATCTACGCGTTCACTCATTCACACTTACGCCTCTAACCATTTTTTCCTCTTAGCCATTACTCTACTTTTAATGGGAATTCCCCTTTCTCATACACCTAAACTTATACGACGGAAACGTTCTAATTCGTCCAAATTCAAAGGATCAGCGAATTCTACTCCTTCACAAACCTCCTTTGAGGCTGAAATATCTCAATTCTATGGAGGTTATTCTGTCCTCGATGCCTTCCGCTACATAGAAGGCCGTCGTTATCACAACAGCGATGCACAATATTGCTTCCCTAATGACAGCGAGGAGCTTAGGCGGATGCAATTAAGCCATAATGTTTTCAAGAATTCTTGGGGCGGCACTAATTTTTCAGCTCCCGTAGCTGAAATGTTATCCGACGGAGGCGTACATGTATTTGATATTGGATGCGGGCCTGGGACATGGTGCTTGGAAATGAGTCTGGAATATCCAAAAGTGACAATTATTGGGTTGGACATATCACCAACGTTTTCTCTTGGTGACAAGCCCCCAAATGTGGGATATATGCAATGTGACGCCCTTGATGGATTGCCTTTTCCTAGTGAGACCTTTCATTATTGTTGGCAGAAATTTATGGTCTCCTCTTTTACCAAGGGTCAATGGATTAAACAAGTTAAGGAAATAGCCCGAGTCACCAAACGTGGCGGATGGGTGGAGATTATGGTAAGCTAAATTTCGTTTCTTTCCATGTTTTAATTTTCCTATACCTGATATTAATAGTGTCGATATCAACGTTTAGGAAGTAAACGTGGAGTTCTTTAGTGTCGGTCCCGCTTTACGCAAACTATCAGAAGGATGTAGAGTATCAACCAAATCATAGCTACCTATGAAGTTTTGTTTTGTCAGTATCAATAGCTAATCACAATATACAACACAATCTTAGGTCGGCGATACTATATCTCGAAAAATTTACTTCCATCAATAAGCCATCATGTTGCTAAATTCATGGAAGAATCCGGGGAATTTGACGACATAATCAGTGAGGAGAGGGATACATATCTTGGTGCATGGGCTGGAGAACAAGGCGAGAAAGTGAGTTGAAGTTAATTAATGGATATCATTGCGCGATGTTGAATGTAAGCTCACGATGTTTATTCTTTTTAATAGGCTGCGTTAAATCTCGTACAGGCTTATCAAGCACTTAAGCCTGTTGTCAGACCAGTGCTTTGCATTGAAGAGTATGAATACGATGAATTGGTGAATAGCCTAAAGCGTGAAACGGCGAGTTATAGGACTTATATGAAGTCGTATAGGTTTTATGCGCAACGGCGCTCGAATCATCTCAATATGCCATATTAATTGCTATAATCGATCCTTTTTATGGACCGTTTAAAGTTACTGGCCTCACGGCTGATTTTATAGCTAATAATAATTTTCCATTGATCCTGATTTGGTGACCATTAACTCTATTTATTGCCAACTTTACAATAACAATACAGATTAATACAATACGTACTAACCGGAAAAAAAAAAGTCCGGAAAATCCTTTTAAGATTATATAAAAATTTTTCCTGTAAAAAAATAATCAACTTTTTATTTAAGTTTTTATTGGCTTAGATTTACATAGAAATCTAAGGTATGCCACTAAATAAACGGCTTGAATCAGTTTATAAAATTTAATTTTGTTGTTGGACATCCGTAGTTCGATTGACGCATCTTATTTGGAGCTTTAAACCCTAGAATGTCAGCCAAGGCATTACCTTGATTATTTATAAGCTTTTTTAACTTTTTTTTTTTTCAGTCCGCACAGATGAGAAATTGGTCTGTTCGCGCACCAGAAATGTCATTGGCCACTCATGCAACATTTATTAATCCCTAATCGATATGCGTGATATCTATTAGTCGTCAGGCATGTGAGCAGCATACTGTAAATTTGAAGACCGACAACCATTATGATGCATTGATAACTAGACTTATGCAAAGATCTAGGTACACAAACAAATATAAAACCGTGCCGAATATTCCCTTTGTATATTGTAAGCAAATGGAAATAACTGTAAAATGTATCTTATTGGTCGCACGGACCACAGCACGTACTAGGAAATTATTACCGTTGGCTTTAAATGTGTAACTAGCACTTATACGTGAAAGACTCGAGCTTACGTTGAAAGCGTGACATATTTGGTGGTATGGAATTGACTATGGCGAGTTTCCGACTATACCAGAGGATGTACAAACGCGAACAGATATATTCGAATGTCAAGTTGTTTACAAAAAGCACAACTAGAATGGCTTCCTGTACAGTATCTACTGCATTTGTGCCAATTTCGACTTTTTTAATATTAAGATGTGCATGTAATGACTTTATAATACAAAAGTTGCAGAATTAGTTATACCGACTAAAAGTTAAGTCTAAGTAGAATTCATTTACTTGAATGTTTAAAAAATCTTTGACTTTAAGCAACGACATTAAACTATTGCCTTACCAACTTATAAATATTACGGAAAGTTGGCCATACGCAATAATTCTCCGAAAACGTAATGATACACTATCGCATTATTTTTGTCAAGTGTTGTAGCCGAAAATTGTACGCAAAGAGAGGTTCACCATATGTGTACACATGGTAATAGTGAATTATGATACAGAATAAATTACACTGCCTGGAAAAAGTATTGGACACCCTAACTTTATTAATTGTGCATAATAACCAAAGCTATGTTATAGTCTAACTTCTTATGAAACGCGAATATAATTTTTACGCGTTGTTTATATTTATTTCCTTTGTAAACAATATAATAAACGGCTTACTGATTGGCAAAGAGAAAATCGCCTGAATTTGTGCATTGAAAGAAAATTTTACCTAATTGGCCAAGCCAATCACCGGATTTGAACATTTATGGTCGGAACTGGAAAGACGCATTAGAAAGCGTTCGATTATGGCTAAAAATATAAGGGAAACTTGAGACGGTATTACAGGAAATGGGGCCAAATTACCAACGATGTTTTGATAAATTTAATTAAAGTACGCCTCGAAGAGTTGAAGCATGTATTGCGAGTAAGGGCTGGCCAACAAAGTATTAGTTTATACATAGATTCACAAGAAGCCAGACTGTAGCATATAAAAATTTTAGCCTCAATTATTATGTACACTTTTGAGCAATTAATAGAGTTGGGGCCGATACTTTTGTCCAGGTAGTGTATATGTGTTTTTCCTCATATTAATATTAAGCTGACATGTACAATCTTCTGAGATGGTTGTATCGTGTATTAACACAACTGTCGGTTTTTTTCCGTTACAATCACAAATCCACTATATCGGACGCTCTGCAAAACGCTATCAGAAATTTTCAATATTTGATAATTGAGTGATACATATTATTTATAAGCAAAGGTTCGTAGTTTCGTAGAGTCAAAGTCGACGTTATATAGCATATAGGATTGTTCTTTCCGATAAACTATAATTACAACTTGTAGCATATGAACGCTATTGACTCACATACAGAGTTAAATCTCAATACTAATGCGTCCATACTATATATCTTCACTACAGTTTCACTACAGTTTACGGGTAAAGGGCTTTTTTTAGCCTATTTTAGACTAATTCTAAAAACTTGTTTACTTTGTAAGGTTACTCGGGTTAGCCACCGCCAGAGAAAGGGCGATCACGTACAGTGCGCGAAAAAAGTTTTTGGAATAACATTTTTATTAATTGTGCAACGAGAAACATGAAATTTTACAGATACATTCTCCATCGTACAACACTCATTACTGCTCAATAGCTTATATTAAACCATTTCCATCCATTATTTATTCAATCTTGACGGCATGCTTTGAATCAAATCAACACGAGTGCTTTTTCCAAGCTCTTTCCAAAAACTTTTATTTTAAGCTTCTTAATATCATATACTTGGAAGGCAAAACAAAAGTTAATTTATGTAAAGTGTAGCGTCTTGAACCCACAGAGTGGTTATGATCTTGCGACGTCAGTCAATCAAAACCTTGTCATTGTAAATAACAAAACGAAAAGTGTAAACAAATAAAACAAATGACACAAGTAACAAAGTTATGTGACCGAGTTTTTTGTCAGTGTTGAATAGAACGCACAAAACGTATTAGTTGACTGTTTTGATTAGACGCGTATTTTGGAAGGAAATAAAGTTTATGCATTTTATTCCGAAAACTTTTTTCGCGCACTGTATATCAAAATTGCTTCTAAGATCAAAGAATGAAAAGTAGTGGTTTTCTTATTTCTTGAAAGCACAGAAGGGGAGAATCCGCCTACTATTAATTTATGCCCGCTCCCAAACTAAAGCCATGAGTGACAGAAAAAGCGCATCGATCGAGCTTATATCATTATAATTTGAACGATAATTTATTTTCATCTTTCAATGACGCACGCTAATTTTGGTAATCACCTAAAAAACACTCCTAACTTCATAGTTACTAAACTGTTACAGCATTAAATTTATGCAGTATTCCCAGTAATTCATTCGTGGTTAAACACATAAGTAGGAAAGGGCCTTGTCTTTTCTCAATACATCTGTTGGCATTTGAGCAAATATGCATTAGAGGCATGTACTGTTGGTAACTATCTTAAAAGCAACGTTTCTATTTTTATCCAGTTGTAGACTTGCACTGTGACAAAGCGAAAATAGATCAAGCAAAATATTATCTGCCGCCAACGGCACTAAACAAATTAGTTTATTTGATTACCTGGATAAGTGGTCCGAGTAAGACTTTAACCAACGAGAAATAGTTTTTTAATTAACAATTCGAGCTAACTGTTAACTATAAACGTACAGCGAGTAAATCAAGCGTTAACAACATCGAGTTTTTCGATGGGGAAAAAAAAACTCATTTTACTTGAGACAAAGAGAATGATACTATAAATGTATTGCTCGTGTGTTGAACTCTGTGATCATTTGCTATTATCTTATAGTAACAATAAGTTTTATGGTACTTCCAATACCTCCATCGGCTTCAATTAATATGTCATCTTCGGTTATTAAAGAATACCGTACGAACGATTTATTTTCGTTAAACGTACTAACCAACAAAATAAACTCTTATAGGTTGAAGGATGCAAACCAATGAAACGCCGTAGGGAGGCTATAGCAATGTAAATAAAAGCATTGACTTGTGATATTTCCTGGTGAATTTCCCTGATGAATAACGTTATATTTTGGGAGTTCTCAACTTGCCTCCAATCGATATCAATGTTAGAGGGCAACATACGGTCCTAGCATGTGTTTACTTGTTTAAAAGAGGAATACGTTATATTGAATCAGATATTATTACCAAGCACGGTTCCAGATGATTATTATTTCGACGGGAAAATGAAAAAGTGCCAAGCTCGACAACATTTCAGTGCCAAGGCGTCAGGAATGTTGATTGGTGGCTAAAAAAAGTGGGTCTAACCTCAGAAACGGATCTGATATAGAGAGTCAGTCGTCACGTTAAATATAAATATGTGCCCACTCGAACCTTTTTGGGGATAAACTGCCCTCGACCGTATGATACAATAAGATTATATATCTCCCTAAACTGGTATTAGTCCTTCGCCCGGATGGTTATAACTATAAGCCATAACACGCATGACATATTCGTTAACTTATGTGGCTAGCTATATGTCGCTAGCTGATATAAATAAACCGACCGAAAGACCTTTTGAACATTCAAAAATTCAAAAACCTCAAAACCTCGATCAACTGCATCAAACATGGCAAGGCACTACTCTTTCATCTTCATTGCGATATCTCTCGCGTTAATTGCAACAGCAGCATATGCTCAATCTATGAATTGCAAGACCTGTCAAGTAGCCGAACAGGCTTTCATTTCATGTTATGGATCTTCGCAAGTTCAGTTTACAGACCCCAAAGCTATGCAATGTCTCTGTCAGTCACAAGTACTTGGTGCATATGACGTGTAAGTGCATTCTGACCAACCATATGGGCATTTTTTACATTGTTACTGTTCAACTAACGTCTACGATTTTGGTCCCTGTCAGATGCACTGCATGTGAGAAGGAGCTAGGTGTCACGAATGGACTGTCACAAGTTCCTAAAAATGGTGAGTAAACCTTTGGATAATTATAATTTGTTTTGCTGTCTCATCAACATCGTCACTCTCTGCTTCTAGTACTCCTAAGCAAATGTCAATCTACTGCGAGTAACGCAACTACGAGTAGTACAACCACGGGTACTTCAACCACGGGCGCTCCAACTGCGGGTACTTCAACTGCGAGTACTTCAACTACGGGTACTCCAACTGCGGGCACGGATTCCACAGCTACAGCTGCTACTACGAGCGATACAAGTCCAAGTAACACAGGCGGAAGCAGCCCCACCCCAAATGCGAACGGTGGGACAAAGACGTTTGGAAATATTGTTAGGATTGGGTTTATCAGTTTAATTGCTGGAGTCTTTCTCGCTTGAATGCTAGTTATGTGAAGGGGGGAAAAGGGGGGGTTATATATTGGCGTGTGAAAATATTGGGTCTGATATTGTTTCAGAATGAAGAACATTTTGAAGCTATTTTGGTTAAAAAAAAAAAAGAAGTAATAATATTTAAAAATAGCCCTAATTTGTATTAGATATCCATGTTGTGGCGGTCTTTAGCTTCAATGTGATACGATTCGGGCAATTTGTGCGCAATCACATGAATAATTAAAATGAGGTTCCAAATATATTTTAAACGTTGGCATATAGTAGTTGTTACACCATTTATAAATTCCTCTCACAGCTGCAACCTCGTTATTCATAATAACTATTCACCATGTCTTGCAAAGAACTCCAAAACACTGCAAACGACTTTCCAAATGTTGCTTATGGTGATCATTGTACAAATACCAACAAGTCGATAAAAGATATTGCCGTGGAAGTACATTCGGCCTTGTTCTCAAAGGATAACGCTGAAAAAGAAAATGTCATCAGGTCATATTTTGATGCGCAAGCTGGTAATGTTTAAGCAGCAATACTACCAGGACCGATGAGTAGGGCAAAATGATATATTTACCCGACTTATAAAACTTACTATCATATTGCACTTCCTATTCCTTGTTGTTTTTTTTACCATCAAATCCAGTCTTTGAGGATCCTACGGTCCACGTACAGGGTCGTAGAAACATTGCCCTTCAGTTTACATTACTGTCTTGCCTCTTCTCTTCGATCACAGCCGTTTACCGCTCTGTAGCCGAAGCCTCAGCACCAGGCGCCCACAATCAAATTATTATTGATTCCGACGTTACCTATGGTCTTTGCTGGCAAAATATTGAAATACGCACTATCACGCGATTCGAGTTTAATGAACAACACAAGATAGTTAGACGTGAGGACGTATGGAGCATAGCCGATCTAATACAACAGATACCCATTCTTGGATGGATGTATGCCGAGATTGGGAGGAAAACTACAGGAATCGTGTCGAATCAGCTGTGGTCGCTTGTACAAGAAATAGGCAAGGCCTGGAATGAGTGGGAAGTGTGAGTAGATCGTTTGAGCAGCAGTCTGTATGGCAGGCATAATTGATTTTGTAGAATTTCACAAGTTGAATTTCAGATTTATACAAATATATTAAGTTTGTTCTATTAGTTTTACAGTACATATTATGTCATACTAAATTAGCGTTGATATAAGTGTCCCTTTTTTTTTTTTTACAAATTAAATGTCATTAATTCCAAGTAATTTTTCACTTCATCCACGTCAACGTACAAAGTGGAACAATAAACTGCAAAACGCATGAGAGATATGTTAATATTAGATTAGGTGTGTTTAAAAATGTTACACAATTGAACCATCCTGGATATTTTACCTCTTTTAACATCATCATCTGCCTTTTTAGCTTTCCTTATCTGCGCAGCAGATTTAATCATGTCTCCCAACGGCTGACTCTTGTACACTGCCTCAGGATGTACTAAGATGCTCGGTAGTCTCACCGGTAATCCAGACTCCAACTTGTATTTCCGCCTATTGTCTGCTCTGTCGAACTGATCCTTATTTTTACTATGGAATATCCAATCAGCAAATACATTCCATAATTCATCGGCGGTCGGTCGACTATTTGGATCAGAAGCCCAGCATCGCACGAGTAAATTACGATAACACGACGGAACATCAGACGGGATAGGCGGACGCAGACCATCGCATATGTCGATTATCAACTGAGCATCGTGTGGTCTATCTGCAAATGGTCGCTCGCGAGCAGCAAATTCCCACATAATCACTCCAAAAGCATAGATATCTGCCGCTTTGCCTATCTTTTCTCCCATTAATATCTCGGGTGCTGTGTATGGGATTACGCCGTATATCTCGTCATTCTTCGAGTCTCTGTTGCATGGTTTACATAGTCCTAAATCCCCGATATATATGGATCCTCCTCGTAGATATCTCGACCCTCTTAATATATTTCCACTATGTACATCTCCGTGATAGAGGTCTTTCTCGTGGATGATACGAAGCCCATTGGCTATTTCACGGAGGCGAAGAAGTTTATTACGCCAGCGTGATTGGACGTAGGCTTCGGTGTGGAGGTAGGAATGGAGATCTTCTTCAGCGAATTCCATGACCAGTAGATATTCGTTGGTATTGGGGTCACGTGTTATACCATAGCAGGGAATTATGAACCCTTTGTCAGTGCAACGGTAGTATGATTTTAACTGTCGGGGCAAATGAAAACAATAAGAATTAGAACACTGTGACAAGTAGACATAAGCACAGAGTCAGCTTATTCTCCACTTTCTATATCCTAAATACAAATTTTCACTGAACACACACCTCATCAAGAAACTTTCGACTCCACTGTCCATTCCTAAACCTCTTCAACGCAACCCTCTTCCCGGAAGTCCTTGTTAACATTTTGTGATCGTCACACGCAGGCCATTTTGGTCCATCGATCCATATTCCTTTAGACACACTTCCAAACCCGCCATCCGCAATATGTTGAATATTGGCAATGCGCTCGTATGGTATCCATTCCAGGTGAGACCAGAAATGCCTCGAGTCTAATTGAGTAAATATGATAAAATCATCAATGTCTTGGTTTCCACTCGTCCATGTACGAGTATCGGTATCGGAAGGCGTTGGAGTAGGTGCACGGGATGACGATGGGGAGGTATTGGCAGTTGTCGATGAAGAGGATGACAGAGAGGGCGTCGAGGAGGGAAGCCTTGCGTGACTAAGGCGTACGTAGTCTGTGTGTGGCATGTAGGTAAACGCTGGCTTCGGCTCTGTTGGAGAGAGGAGTGGGAAAGTTTTCGATTGATCGTTGGGGCTGAATGTGAAAAAAAGTAAGTGATAAATACGTTTGCATACTGGTACTGGTGGAGGCTTTTAAAGGATACGGTGGTGGTAGCGAGTGAATTGTCAATATTATTATTCGTTGGAGATAATAATCATTATCGTTCGTTAATATTGTGAGCTTATGGTTAGTGTTGCTAAAATGCCTAAGTATTGTTCCATTGTGACGATCCTTTTCATCTTCTATTCTATATTCGTAACCGAGCATTAATTCAACTATTGTTTTTCTGTTTGACTGTACTTACCGCCGAAGACTCCAGAGTCCGGCAAAGCAATTACCTTTAGAAGTCATTGACAGTACGTTTCTATGCCACTTACAGTATTCGAAAGTAAAAATCTCCCAAATCTCCAATTCTTCTGCATCCCCTTTAATTTGTAAATGCCCGCCAGGGTTTTTACTTGCATCAGAATCCCATTGTCTGAAATGTTTACTATTACTATTGTCTGCATATCATCTTAATAGGGAAAGCGGTATGTCAATCTGCATATTTGAGACAATGCCGTTCAAGTCGTCATTCCTATTGTTTATTGTAACCTTCATAGAACGTACAACAATGGCGTGAGAATAATAAGATGACATCGCGAGTGGAACAAACGGAACATTTGCCGCAGCGGGTAGTATACTAATACTGCTAAAATTCATGCTTATAATTAGCAAACTTGTTTCCCGTACCAACAGGTTATAAATAACTTCATTTCATTATGACGCTAAAGAAACAGGTATGAACAAGTTTTGTGCAGGCACTCTGTATTGTGATACACTATCAAAGCCGCTATTGGTGGATACTGGTTAATTGAAAACTTAGTATCGGACTTGGTTTTAGTCGCTGCTTTCGTAATGTCTTTCGGCTTCACAAGCACTTTGACTGCTGATTACAATCGTCTCTACGCAACAAAAGATGATTACGATGTAATCATTGATGTGGGGGAAGGACCAGATAAAAGTGAATGTCGGGCCCATTCGATAATTCTAAAGACAAGATCCGAGTATTTTAGAATTGCTTTATCCTCTAATTGGGCAAAAAAAGAGGGCAATTATTACAAATACTCAAAGCCAAACATAAGTTCACGCGCATTTGATGCTGTACTCAAGTATGTTAAGGAATGGTTTTTTTCCCTGTAATGTTCTTTGTCCCGTGTTTTTTTATTAACATGATAGACTTCATAGATACTTGTACGTTGGCACCATAGATGTGTCGCAGGAAAGCCCAGAGACAATCTTTTCGATAATATTAGCACTTGACGAAATGCAACTCTATGCTCCCCTCGGAGTTGTGCAAAAATTCTTTGTTGACAATTATACAAATTGGATTGATAAAAACCCCGTTAAAACTCTAGAAATGGCCTCAACGAACGATAATTTATCACTTATCAAAGAATATATAGAAAAAATCATTTGTCAGGAACCGGAAAAGTTTTTCGAATCGACAGACTTTGTCGATGTAAAAGAACATTCATTAATTGGTCTATTAGAAAGAGACGATCTCGTGATGAAAGAGGTGGACATTTGGGAAGCCATAATTAAATGGGGTAAAAGTAAGTATGATATAACAGAAGATATCGATAGCGACAGCATATATAAAGAAACGCTCCGAACGAAGTTAGAAAAATGTATTAATTATATTAGGTTTTGCAGAGTAAGTATCTATTCATTGTTTATGGTTTGATTGATCAATTATAAGACCTGACATTAATTTGAATAAATAGATGACTTCATCAGAGTACGCTCTGAAAGTGAGAGAACCATATAGATGGCTTCTTCCGCACGGCTTGGATGAAGAAATCATTAACCATTTTCTTCAGGCGAGGACGGCCGCCAAACCCATTTTATCTCAACCACGACGCCGGTCTTTAAATACTACATTTATTTTTGGCGAACAAATCAGTTATATTTATAGGTGGATTATGGATCAAGAAATTTCGGCCCCTAATGCACTTCCGGACTTTAGGTTAATATTTAAAGCAGATCGAGATGGATGGGACACTTTTCGTCAGAAATGTCAAGGCAAGGAAAGGACACTTGTACTTATTAAAGTTCGCGATGCGCCTATTATCTTGGGAGGATACAATCCCGTAACGTGGGATGTAGAACAGCCAACAGTCGGTGGAATAACGAGTGCGACTTCTCCAGATGAGCAAAGAAAACAGGCTCATCAAAGAAGAAATGTAATATCCATATCATCCCAATCCCAAGCAAGCTCTTCAACAGCAGCGCCACTACCACCGGCCGGACAATTTTTCTTTCAACAGCCACTAAGAAATGCGGGGCTCCCCAGATTTCAACCCGTGGTTCGATTACCGCCGCGTCCACCACAGATTTCATCTTCACCTGTACATCCTCAATTTGGTCGTTTCGATTTTACAGAATATAATAAGACATCGAACAGTTTTATATTCTTGTTTCAACTGGACAGTATCCCCCAAAGGGCCTGCATAATTGATTCTAACTTTGCGATCGACCCAACGGCAGCGAGTCCGAAATTTGGACGTAGTGATCTACGTATCGAAGGGCAAAAGGTTTCATGCTTACCGATAGATTATGAACCATCGTTGTCATTAGATGGAATGTACGATATTAGCGATTACGAAGTCCATCAGGTTCAGTTGCCTTGATTCAATAGGCTGACTGTCACTTGTTTGTTAGAACTTTTTTATAGACGGTTGCATAGAAGCCACTACAAGTTTAGGCGGCAGAGAGATTGACAATGCAGACCGCTCCTTTAAGATAGGTCTATAAATTTCTACTAGAATTTAACTGTAGAAGATTAGAGAAAAAGTCTGAAAGTATAATTACAACTGTAAAAATTCATTATCCTTCTTTATTCGTATAAATAAAGTTTTCGGAAGAGTTAACAATGGATAAAAGTGTGGTTGTCTTAAAGATTTTCAGCTTTTACTTTCATGTGTTATTGTGGTTGGTGACAAACGCTTAATACACGTAATCTCGCGTTAATTTCACTAAATCTTTCATTTCTTCATTCGCCGCAAAGCCACAAATTACACGCATTCATTGTGTCTTACTCAGAAACCCGAAATCGATATGATTTAGCGATAAAGCTAGGGCGTGTACGAGGCCTGTGGTTTCACTTTCAGAATACATGATTTGAGTTCCTTGTTAATTTCTTCACGTATTGCATCATGGCCTTGATATTGATTCGAAACGTTAGTATTAGATCGTGAGTTTCAGGCTTCTTTGTTGATCGTTAAATGGGATGCCGCCAAACATTCGTCTAGCTACAAGTCATAATGAAGTACGAAACTTGATAATTGATTGCAGTGGAGAAAAACTTGTTCGTACGATGGATCCGGCAAGGATGCTTGGACTTTGAAATCGAAAAAGCTTTTTCAAATGCCAACAACTCGATGTTAGTCTTCAACACAATCTGGTTGTAGACGCTAAATCTCCATTTTTTAAACAAGTACCAATTATTTTAATAGAAATTAAACGAGTGAAGCTTTCATCTCCTCCTCACACCGCAATAGTAATATCTTAAAATTCAATTAAACTACAATCATTTAGCTTTAAAATGGGGTAAATTTTATTGGTACTTGTTTGAGAAAATATAGAGAATCAGCGACTTGGAGATTTCGATTTTTCATGTTTTATTAGTAAAATCTTGTATCGTATTATACTTTTACTTATCGAGGAGGCTGACTGTGTATATCGATAGAACGTCATGTTTATTATGTAGTTCGATAATTGCTTCTGCCATCCCCTTTTTTTCTAAAATGCATAATTACTATTTTAGAAGTAGGCAGTAATATTAATATAAGCTACCAATAATAATAATAATAATGCAGATTCATTAACTCTTGCTTCAGAGTCGGCATCATTGACTTTGTTGAGTTACCAATGTGTATGTTCTGTCAAGTTGTATGTTTATTTATCCTCTCATCATAAATATTAAGTGCAATATGCGAGTGAGTAGAAAATAATAATAAAATTTTTATATAATCATACAAACAATGATTTAATAATACACAGCTCTTCTAATCCTCCCTATTCGACGTCGTATTGAGCAATAAAGTTAACAGAATTACCACCTTCGGTATACACTAAAATCCATTCACCCTTAATATCCAGTATAGTATCTATTGCATATGTCGTACTCTTGTCTGCAACACACCAGGAAATCTTCTGTAATTTCCTTGTTTTCTTATCAGGAGTAAACAGGTCGAATTCGGGTAACTCATTTTCATCCTTGTCAAAGATTGTAAGCTCGAATTTTGTTCTACGATTGTATGCAAGCTTAGAGTATATAGGTTCGGAGATGGTAAAAGTGAATGGAACCGAGTAAGTTTGGGCATATGGCGGAGATCTGGAACCTTTACCATGGTTGACAACTTTGAAGCTGGCTGCCATGGGGCCCTAATTATATATCAATACCAGAACATATTGTAAGCAAGTATTACATGACGACAACAGTTCCATCATATTGGAAAAAAAAAATTATTAATTCTTTTGTAGTTACCCTGTTCCCTTCGAGCATTACGAATAAATTCAAATTTCCCTCTCCCGAGCTGGGCATCTCACAGCGAATGGTATAAACCGTCTCTCCGTCTGGCCCAACTTTCCCACTGATCCTCTGAATCAGACAATTTACTGCCTTTCCTTGCCACTCCAATACTGCATGCAATGGTTTGCTCTCATCTGGAATGCACCTCATCACTTCCATTTCAAATTTGTCGTTTTCAACCTTTATTTCTGATCCAATGTACTCTATTAGCATGAGGCCGGATGTAAAGAATGCCGGCTTAACAAATGGCAGTTTAACAAATAAGTCACTCGTAATTGGAGGGTCAAGATATTGTTCGTTCTCTTCTTCAGGGAAGTGAGAATATATAAACTGTTGGGGACTAGCCAGGAAGTAGAACGGATCGAAGTGACGATTGAACGATCGGCCATTCAGTGTGCCAGCACCCCAAGTTGGATCAACGAGCAGATATTCACCGTCGAGACACACACCAATCCAGGCATGGTCGACTTGGGAAGTATCTAGGTTGTCCCCCGGCTTATAGCCTACACCTATCGAGCAAAAGAGAAATGCGAGTTTGTGAATAAACTTGAGATAGGTAACGTAGTCACACTTATGAATAATTCTGTAAAAGTAAATACCCTTTGCCTGCCCAGTGATCTTCCATACATTCAATTTTGCCTCCTCGGCGAGCGCTTTAAACAGTTCGGCATACCCATCACAAACAGCAACACCTTTTTTCATTACATCGTCGGCATTATGACTACTAGGTTTTCCTTTGTAATTCGTGCATATACAAGTATTAACATATCCGTACGAAACGCTCCAATAATACAACCATAATTAAGTAATTTTATTTACCCGAGAAGAAAGCATTGGCGTCATATGAAACATTTTCGGTGATCCAGGTATATATGGCTCGCAATTGATATATTTCCTTGCCCTTCCAGCGAGATGTGAGACGTTTTGATAGATCTCGTACTGTGGTAGTCTTGGTTATACCACGTGCATGTTTATCCACTTGAGAGAAATCGTACTCTAAATTTTTTGGGGGAAGGGTGTTAACGTTGAAGCTTTTCTTTTTCCAAATTCGAAGACATCGAAAGTAATCATTTGTAGCTAACCTGTCAGATCAAGTAAAGTTTTAAAGACATCTTTTTGAACAACGACGCCGCATTTGCTATCAATTTGAATTCAGTAATCAACGGTTAGATAATGTCAATTAACCATAATTCTTTCTCTCTTTGACCATTCAACCGATACATACGCAACCGGATCTTTCGCTCCACCAACAATTGTTGTCCACTGACTAGGCTTTCTTGGCCTAGAGATAATATGTTGAACGTCATTCTGACTTGACTCAGCTTTGCTTGAAGATTTATTTCGTGCTTTTGAGGGCGAGCTATTAGAACTTGCCGAGCTGTTAGAGCGAGAACGGGCATGAGAGTGAGAGATTTTAGTCTCTTCTGCCTTTCCATCCGCCTCGACGCTAGCATGTGAAGTGGTTGGCTTTGATTTATCATTCTTACTACCTTTCTGACTGAGTCTACGAAACGGTTTTAGAACTTTCTCTTTCCAAAGAGGCATTGTCAAATGTTTTTAGAGTACTGGTTGTCTCCTGATGTTAAAACAAGAGTATTTAGCAACAGTCGGTGAATTCTTTCTTATAAATAAGTCTTCCATTAACATTGTTACATGGTGACATTATATATTTTTACGCGACCATACGCAATTGACGTGTCACAGCAGATGGCGAGAATCCGTAAGAGGCTCTTGTGGGGTAGCTCTATGAGGAAGGCACAAAAAGAAGGCTTCTTGACCTTGTAAGCATTGTGGCATTATCCAATGACATGTTTCTGACATAATGTTGTTACATGATAGATTGTGGACGCAGGTAATTGAATAATGCATGAGTGCATAGCCTGCATCTATGCTTCTCCTTGTAGTGGTTAACTCGATATTTGTTGGTGAGTATGTTTAGACATTGGACAGATGACAGAAGAATGTCTGTTACAACGATGGCGCTACGTCATGTTGACGTCATAAACAGTTTAGATCCAGTTATTAATATCTCGTTTTTTGCGAAATACTGTAAGGGTTTTGTGAATATCATAGCCAAAATAATCTAACTGAACTGAAGGTGTCACCAATGTGATTATGCGTGAGAGCAAGAGTTGAATTTGAGGCTCATATAATTCATTTCCACTTTTTAAGTCGCTAACTCTGAACCCTTTTGTTAAACCATCCAATAAAAATAAATTTAACCTTCCTTTGTTGCAAAGGCATAAATGGCATAGTAATAGTCTCCGTTAGACTCTACGCGGGATTAGTTAGTGCCTTTTCATACAGTTTCTACCGTAACTTCATTTGGAAGCCAGATCCATACATTTCAAGATGCTATCGAACTTGGCCCTAATATTTGTAGGCGGGTTCCTATATACTAACCTCCGTTATCGCAGAATATACAGTATATGCACAGCATTCAATGTTTTTCCCCTTTTCCGTGCTAAAATCAAACACGACATTTTCAAGCCTCAGTTACAATTCCAACAAGGAGAATATCGATAACTAATATGCAGTTCGCATATTAATTGCAAAGGGTCGACAGCTTCGATTAATTTGATAAGAGTCCCATATTTCCTTATAAATGATAATATCTACTGATAATGACATGTTCTCTAACTGTGAGGATAATTTGTGATCTGCGCCTAATGATGGTTATCATTAATGCCCTTCTATTGTCAATCACAACGCCCACAGTTTTTGCTACACCGCAGCTCAACCCATTAATTTCCTGCAATAGCAATAGGCCAGCATTCAAAGAAAGACATACTCGCCTTATACAATCAGCAGCTATTTAGCCTGCTTACCATCAACCAGATTCTTACTCTCATACTGACTCAGACATTTGCTCTTACTACTAGATCCCTTAGTCTTGATTCTGACACATTCTTCATTTTCTCTCCCATTTCTTAATTAAATCGATAAGTATTAAAATTAGAATGTGTTGGCTATGATATTTCAATCACATGCCACTATTAAAATGAAGATATTTCATAAATGACGCCTCTGATTATCAGATGTTACCTGATGCTATCTGTCTTCTAAATGGCGTCGAATTGTCTCTCGAATACCCGATAACGACACAAACGTAATCACATTATTTACAGTATACTGGAAATGTTAATTATAGAAATAAATGTAGGCGACATAGATAAATAGCATATTGAGCTCCGCAAAATCATGTAATCAAGCAATCGATAAATTGCCTTATGGTTGCAATGAGTTGTTGTTTCTCTCGCTCCCGATTAATAGGAGACGAGAATTTAAGGCTTGACTTATTGTAACCTCGGAACTCTCGCATTGACTACGTGAGCTGGAAACTTAATAACAGATATCAACTATCACGAGAAGGTTTCTCAAGCGTTAGAGCTAATTTCAAGGCCAGCTGATAATTTGCTCGCACAATATGTTCGGATGTCACAATAACAAGACTAAACGTATATATGCGCATGTGTGCGTGAGTAGATAAAGTTTGTCGTTGTCAATTTTCGTGATATACAGTATGTAATGTGATATATTAGTGTACTAAATTTTATCAACCGTTACGCGTCATCAACATAAAGATATGATTATTATTATTATTGCCAGTACGTACGTATATAGATACATGACTTTGCTGATCTACTACTCCCTTATGTCAGGATACTGTAATATCTGGTTTGCTTGATGATTTATTATTGCCGTTTCTCTTGTTACCCTAATACGAACTTTGAGATGTGACGAGCCCATGGCTTGCTTACTTTGTTCCTTAAGCGAGTACTCGAACTGATCGTAAAGCGAAACTTCGGTTTGTATTGTTACGAAAACGAATTACGTTTACGGTTATTCTCTTTTAAGCAGACAACATAAGACAAGTACCACAGAGATGGTATACAACTGAAAACATGATGCTTATACATGCCCTGAGTAGTCAAGAAAGAATCTAAATTACTTGTATAGTCTTTGTATTGGTGTACATTGCATTTATTTACTAGATTACAGTATTATTCTTAATTCACGTTCTCATATATCAAAGTCTTTGAGTACAATGGTAAATGAATGAAGCGCATGCACTACTGCAACCTTAAAGTATTGAATCAGAAGACGGTATTTCAGGTACAATATTCGGACAGGGAGCTCGGATAATTCGGAGAATGAGTATCAATAATACAAAGCACACAAGACAACAGCCAATGTCTTGTATATAGATGCTATTGTGTGATGGTAACATAATCACCATTATTGTCAAAATTAAGGCCATTGAGAGAACAAATCGATAATATTACTGATATTATTGATGCGAGTGTCCGATTGTATTCCGCTAATAGCAATAAATCGCTGATACATTACATCACCCATTCATAAAGCACGGTTCGATCGAGCGGTTATATTTGGGTATGATTCTCCACTTCGGTCAGTCGGTGAAGAAACATAAAACAATACATTTATAATACACCGAATATTAAGAGCTTGGGCCACATTAAATAAAATATCAGTTCCCGAGGAATAACAATTGATAAACAGTTCATTCATGAATAATCATGATATTATCTACTTGTCATAATTGCGCGCAAGCCGTAATTATCCACCAGCAACGTATAAATTCACAACCATAGCAAAAATATACTACTGCCAGCACTAATAAGCTTTCGCATAACACATCAATACGAACGCCAATAACAAGTTGTCATATAATACACATTGGTCGATCAATGCCTCACGAAGGTGTACCTAACCTTCAGGGCTTGAGAAAAATGATCAGTGAACTTCACAGACAGTTTCCCAAACCCCCTACAACTCTATCGATTGAAGAACTCATCGAATCCGCCAAAAAACCCCGTTCCAAATCAATACCCCGGCCTCAAAACAGCTTCATGTTGTATAGGAAAGATGTATCGGCAAGGTCAATGATTGCAAGTACTAACACGGGAACTAACACGGGAGGGTCGAGAGGAATAGCGAAGAATTCAGAAATAGCAAGCAAGGAATGGAAGAAGGTTGTAAACGACAAGAAACAACACGATTTCTGGAAATGTTTGTATGAAATCGTCAATTACAAACATCAAATAATGTACCCAAAATACAAATATCAACCAAAAAAAGGTGCTAAAAATAGAAGGCAAAGAAGAAAGAAAGGAGATTGCAATAACACTAATAAGAATAACACAATATCCCAATTGGCAATACCTTTGATCTCTGATGACCAGTTAACCGAGACTCTCAACCAAGAAGGCTTGGAAAGTGGACATCGTACAAACACGGCTGTCATTTCATCAAATGATTTTGAACAGCCGCAGCCGCTCACCCAATCATCCTCTCTACGTTCTCGCCAACAGCAACAAATACAGCAATCCATATCCCAACATGCTCCATATGACATTATGGTATCTCCACAAACAGCTGTCAATCCTACTCAAGCGCAAGTCAATCCCAATATGCTACTATTCCCCAGTTCACAACAATATCATATCATCCCCAATTGGACTTCATACATTCCTCCAGTGGCAGGTTCTCCAGTAATCGGCTCGTCAGTAACAACATCAGGATCCATGTCTACTCAAGCATCTCAATATTCTCAATTAGCGCAATTGCCTCTACTGGTCGATTTGAGTAATTTAGGAATCGTTATCCCTACTCAAACGACGCTGCAAAGTGAACAAGGAAAGAGCAGAAAGAAAAGTGGTGGTGGTATTAATGGAGTTAATGGTGGTGCTTATAATATTATCGACAGTAATATTGATAAAAGTAATATTATTTTCAATAATCCTTATCTTGATAACGCTTTTCCTATCAACGGTGGTGATCCGCAATCATGCTATTCCCATCCCCACTCATATTCCCACTCGCATTCCCACTCTAGCCACAACATTTGCTCCACTTCCCCTTACTCACTACAACCATCACTCAGTAATGAACGTACATATAATGGTTATTTTTCTCAGATCGACCCATTCCTGTTATATTACAGTTCATGCTCTTAATATTAATGAGGAAAGTAGTTATGAAGAAAGTAGTTGTTATGTGAGGGAAAATCGTTCCATTGAAACAGTTCATATGCCACTGCAAAGTGTAACCTTTGGTATCACATGAATTATACATTAGTTTATCTATATTAGGGTTTATATGCACTTTGTAAATATCACGCTAACCAAATAAATGATCAGAATTTCTCGTGACGTCATTGCAGTAACCAAGTATGTTGACCCAAAGAAATGGCCCAAACGAGGATATAGTGCATTTGTATAAATGCTCCCCAAGTGCAGTGGGAAATAACGAAATAGAGATTGCTTTAATGGGTGAATAAATTCCCGCAGAATGACAAAGATTAACAGCATCCGAAAATGTGACGTAATATGACACGAGAACATGGGAAGATATCGTTAAATATAAGAAGAGGGAGTATCGGACAGACAACGAAAACGAGTTTTTGTAATAATAATCAACACATACTGTTGTCAATCGCCGGGATATCGTATCTTTTTTCAAACCATCATTCATATCACAGGCTTATAAAATGACGGAACAGGAACTCAAGTCGCATATGCTAGGTAGCACACACGAACATGAAGAAGAAAAACACAATTTTGATATTAACGGAGCACAAGACAATGATGAAGGGGGGGCACAAGAAGGGGGAGCACAAGACGGAGACGAGGGACCAGACGAAGGACAAGGCGAGGGACCAGGTGAGGAGCAAGACGAGGAGCAAGACGGGGAGGAGCAAGACGAGGAGCAAGACGGGGAGGAGCAAGACGAGGAGCAAGACGAGGAGCATGACGAGGAAGCACAAAAGAATATTGAGGGGGTAGAGGTTTTGGATGGTTATGCGAGTTATTTCAGTAACGTATCGGATTATGACGGCGAGAGAGATTCAGATGGTTATCCGGAGGATGGGAAAACATCAGAAAGTGGTAGGAGCACGCCTGTCGGCGAAACTCTCATGAGAGAAGACATCGTGGTTAACAACGCATTGGATGTATATGGCGTTTTATATTCAAAGAAATGCGGGGACAAAATGTATACCATTAAAAAACATTATGATAGTTCTGCCGGTAAGTATTTCATTGTTACGCATCATCACGGAGTGATTAGATTAGAGTGTATAGCTACCAGCCAACGTCGAAATGGATGAGACTAAAATACGAATTCTGTCGCCTCTTATTAATTACTTTCTCTCGAATAATGAAAAAAATCAATACATCATCTACACTAGTGTTCAAAGATCCGTTAGTAATTGCTGAAGGGCATGATAACATCTTTTTACAATTTGAGCTCCTCTCCGCTCTTGTGACTGATATGACGACGGAGTTTTCGGCCGTAACCGTATCATCCAGTAGTTCATTCGCGTCGAAACAGTTTGTGGTCATCGACGCTGTCGTCAGTTACCATTTCCCGCTCTCTCAAAGGGTACCTCTCCGTAGCACAACCATGTTTGTTTTTAATGATAAGCAAAAAATTGTTAGTCATGAAGACATGTGGAGCGTGTCTGATCTGATCCAAAATATACCAATCATCGGGTGGATATATGGAGATACTGGGAGAAAGATTAACGCTCTTGTAAGCAATCAGCTTTATTCATTTTGTAGAGGTACTGTGTTGAGGTTGAGAGATATGGTTGGATATAAAAGAACACCACAAGTGTATATTTGATACGTACAACGCGAATCATTTTTTCAGTAAGGTATTTTCTTTGCGGCTTTTAGTAATTTTGGAAATAAATGTAGTTTATAATTAGCGCAACCCAGAAAGTTATTCATATGACTATTTGGAAGAGTGAACAATATTAAGATTGCTACTTTTCAATTGGCGATAAAGAAACGCTCTGCCAACACATGAGAAGGCAAAGCGGGGCTGACAATTGCAGAGATCAATATGTTTGTTTCCACGTTATTTTTGTTTTACAATTAGCTTGGATAGGATAAAGTTGATAAGGAGGCTCTGAAATGAAAAGCTTATCAGAGTTTCAAGTATATACTGCTGGTTGAACGGAACGTACAAGGAAGTCTGCGAATCCGAGACATCCAAACCGGAAACTTGACAACCTTATAAAGAACAATTAGAGACCATTACTGAATACCTTTTAGATAAACGCAATATGCAGATTAATGGATTACCTTCAGTCCCGAATAACGCCAAGTTGCCTATGCATTTGTAATATAATATTTCAGATCTTTGTTCACGATTTCTGAGCCAATACAACAGTGATGTAGGTCGACCACTAGTATGTGTTACAAAACATTTCAACATTGCATACGCATACAATCAAATCTCATTTATCGGTTTACCAAAGTAATCATTTCTCAATAGTTAGACTTCCTCATTATAACGAATTCTAATAGTAAAATGGGCGTTGTACATTACCACAGGATTTTTATCAGCTCATGGAATCGATCAATTTGGTTGATATATAGGTTATCGTGGTTAGTGTTAAGGGATTCAATAAACATGTCATGCTTAATGTTGGTATAATGGTATATCGATTTTTTATAATTAACCGATAGTAATAGTAATCAAGATTGCTATCGCTTTCATTGCCTTCATCACTATAATCAGAATCAGAATAAAATACATTATATTGATTAATAGGAAAGAAAATCTGCGTGTATAGAAGGGCTCTTTTACCAGACTTGCATTCCTTCCAATGCCCCAAATACTTCTCCATTACCATACCGACATGCCCTTTTTTTTTTTTTCATTATATCCTCATGGAAGTCGGATGATTGTAAAAATTCCAAGAGCCTTGTTCGAACATTGCTGCAAAATCATCTTGGCATGATTTCAGACTAGAATAATTGTAAATAGTGTCAATGATCTTTTTATAGAATTTAAAATCCTTTGCATGAGCTTCCAAAACATTATTTGGTATATTTTCGAAATACAACGTGATTGAAAGTCAGTTCAAGATTTCCTTTAATGGACAACGTCCCGATTGCTTACAGTTCAGGCGCTATGTATGACAGCTACACCATTCTCTCTTATCATCACGTTCATTCTGATGTTAGAAACGTGACGGTTTATGCTAATCTACGACATACAAATTGTCGAATAAACTTGTGATGTATTACGTACCCTGATTTGATCTAGGCAAGGGAGATGCATACAAAAAATACGTTGAAGAACACGGTAAGCAAGAAGCAAGCAAGCAACGTTTATTGGGAGGATAGTTAATTGGGGTAGAGCTGAATCGTAACAGAGCTTGGTTGTACATTAAGAGCAACAGGGTTCGTAGAGTAGCCATTGAGTCAATGAGCGGGTCCTGCCTTACTGTCGGACGGGGTAAGTTCTACTCGCTGGATATTCACGTGTCAACTATATTTACTTGAAACTTTTCTTTATGCCGATTAGTCTAGCTCGGCGGCTATAACATATAATACTGTTAGCTTGGAATGAAAGAAATGCATGCTCAAACGTTTAGGTGGGTTGGGTTGTTTTGTGACAGAGAATGAACCTTTGATTCCCAGAGACAATTAGGTGTAAGTGAGTATCAAGATATGCCTGCGGTATACCATCCCGTTAATTACAGAAATTATGTTCAATGGAAAGACAGGACTATACTATTACTGTTGTGTTATTCTCCCAATTCCTTATACTATTTATTCTATCCAGATGAGAATGAGATTTGATTCTTGATGCAAGCTATTTACGCGATTCGAAGCATGGGATCCTATCCGTCATTTCGAAACGAGGATTGGCTTTTATGGTGACGTTGAATGTTTCAAGATGATCTTCCGGGTTCTAAAACATATAATAATAAATGACGCTCCACCGTTGCCGGCAATAGATCAATGATGGCAACGTCGGCTGATGTTTCCCGTTTCTATAACCGGAACTTATAACAAGTCTGACATTTGCTTCTCAAATAAATGAAGATAGAAGAACATTGCACACTGTTGCGCCTATTCTAACGGCATCCGAACTGTTCTCCCTCCGTTGCTCCTATCCTATTTAACCCAAACGCATAAGTAATATATCTCTTGTTTCCTCCAGTTCATCTTTGCAACAAATTATGTATAACCTAGCATTTACTATGCTATTCTGCATTCCAACTATAACCTGTCTAATTATGTCCTTCTTGACGAACCCACATATGGACTGCCCCGCCAATTCCTAACTGGGTTAACTGACCGAATGTTCTACACTGATGACATTTCGTGCAGCACTTTATGAGTTGTGCACAAACATGAATGCCATCAACCCAGTACTCTCTTCCATCTCTTCCTCTACAACTGCCTCCACTCTCAATTCCACTACCAAACCAAATGACAATGTCACTACCATTTTAAACGACATGAGCATCCAGGTTGGAGAAATTCATGATAGAATCATTCAACCTCCTTTTATTATTATCCTCATCGGTCCGCATTTAGTAATTACATGCAATGGGGTCACTATAATCAAACCCACCAGCATCATTGATATTGATGGAGTAGGAGAATCTGATGATGTGAGGCTGCAGGTCCATGCAGCACATGTTCTATTAGAAAATCTGTAAGTCGAATTTGAACTTCTTTTGTAGATAATTTCATGTTTAACTAACAATCTTATATATTAACATACTATAGGCACCATATCTGGGCAGGATTATCTTGGGACAGAGCCCAAGGCTACAGTGAGGGAACCTACATTGCAGAAATTATTGCATGATCATTATGCAATGACAAAAGCAAACCATCAATTGCCTTATTATTGAATTCACTCTTATCAAACACAACAACATACAGCACAGTAGTTTATCGTTGTTGAGCTCTACTACTCAAGGATATACAGCACAAATAACAGAAGTATAAAATGACCAGAATTAATGTACAGCACACTATATTTCACAACTGGCTCTTTCCAGAGCTTCACTAATTCTCTTATCCAAATCACTAAGACATAGGTAAAATTCGGAATACCCTTCTCTTTCCATGACCAATTCATTATTTCTACCCAATTTTGTCTCTTTAGGTATATCAATTTTCTTTTCCTCATCCCATCCCTCCCAAATCCATACAAATTGGATGTGAACTTTATAGCCCACAAGTTTGCTAGGTCCCCAATTTTTCCACTCATTTACAAATGCTCTAGTTGAACAATCTTGCCTCACTGCCATTTCAAAGGTTGGACTATTGGGATATGTACCTGGTGCTGGAAATGTTATATACTACATGGAACCCAATCCTGATTTTGACCTGTCAAAGCAATGTACTCTCTACTTGCCAAGCACCTGCAAGTTATCTGGTGTGATATATTCATATGTTGATCTACTTTTTGGATTGGATGATGGTTCTAGATTACATCACCTAGTCAGTAGCGCTGAGGCAATTCTTACATTGGGTGGCCTGGCAAAAATAATAAAATTTTCAAAACGTTACAGCATATAGATAATAGAGTAGTGTGTACATAGGGTAGAGCAGACGTAGTAATATGGACATAGAGTACATGGTGATTGTTGGGAAGATGTTATTATAGCTAGAGTTAGAGTTGACTCTTTATTTATATCTATAATTGTGAAATTAAGTAGTACTCTTTCCAAGAAACCATCACAAGAATATATGAAACTAGGCAGGACATGCCAATTGTTTAGAATAAATGCACAGTGTATTTTTGATCTCACAACTATGGTGATTGCTGAGATTTTCCCAATGTTTGACTGTTAATTTTGAACCAAGGAAAAATGTATGTGCCATGCAGTTTGACAAATAACTAATTCCTTAAACTAAGATGCAAATAAAGTCTAAAATTAATATATAGGATTACCCGTATATGAAAAGTTACAATTATAATGGTTTGATAGAATATGAAAAAGCCATGCACTTCTTGGAGATAGGTTGCAATTGTGGTTGCTCGAAAAAAATAGTGAGAGAAAAGTTTGCCAAATTACGTGAGGCGTTTCAAGCTTTCTCTAGGTCCGAACAAGATATATTTTTAATGGCCCAACTGAAAGCAATGAATGGTGGAGAAATAACTGCCAGCCGACGTCTGAAAAAGAAAATGCGTACTAATAAGAGAACTTTTTATTACTGAGATCGCAATACGCCTCTGTGTCAGAAAACGTATCTTAATATGTTAGGAACTGGTCGCACTCACTTCGAAAACGTCAGAAATCATCTGGTAACGAACGGTATAATACCACGCGTTCATGGTAATGTAAAAAGAGTGCCACGATGAAAGACCAAAATAACCATTGATATAACCGTTGCTACCGCCGTGAAGAATTTCTCGAAAATTATGCGGAAATTCATGGACTACCAAGTCCTGGTAGAAATGTCAATCGCATTACTCAATCGCTTACACTTTTACCAGCTGAAACGAGTTACAAATCGGTCTACCGTGATTTTATTGCAGGTCTCGAAAATGATAGCACATTGAAATTATTAAAATATGACGCATTCCGCAGGTTATGGCACCAATTAACGCCTTACATTCAAATCATGAGTCCAAGGACTGATTTATGTGACACATGCCAACATTTTCGGAATGGTTTACAGTATAATGCTCGTAAGGAAGAGGAAGCAAAAGACTTACTGAAAAAATACAAAGAACATCAGTTAAGGCTAAATTAGAAAGAAATTATTATAACAAAAATACGAAATTAGCGGAACAACAGAGGAAATTAGTAGACGCGAGTTATCTTGTGACGGGAGGTAAAGCCAATTTTTGTAGTATTGACGCGACTGCTCATTACAGTTACGATTGAGCAAAAAATGTTCACGTGCCCCATTCCGATCAACAGGTGAGTAAGATTTATTATCTCAGTCCGCATAAAGTGTATTCAAGATGAAGCAGTATGTGAACAAATTAATTATGTTCTCAATGAAAACGAAATAATAGGAAAAGGTCCTAATGGCACACTGAGCATGGTGTTTGATGGGATTAAGAGATTGAATAAAGGTGAAAAATTACTTGTGACAATGCGGGTGGACAGAATAAAAATAATGCCACCATTTGATTTTACCTATATTTAGTAATTTGTGGTTATTATGAAGTATCGAATTAAATTTCATGGTACCTGGACATACTAAATTCAAATGTGATGGTAGTTTTGGATTGATTAAAAAACTATACTGTAAAACGACTGTAGATTGTATGAATCATATTGACGAGGTTGTGAAAAGATCGAGTACAGCGGGATTAAACAAAGCTCAGTGTTATGAAAACGGCAAAGGCTTTCAATACTTAGATCTTAATTCCGTGTTGGGAATTTTCTTTAAGAAATTGAATTGTTTACAAAATATCGGCATTTTCTTTTTGAAGCAGCTCGACCTGGAGTAGTCAAAGCCCAGCTGGTTGCTAGTGGTGCCTATGCCGAATTTAATTTGTTAAAAATTAGAAAAACAAGTGTTTCTGAAATTACCAAAGAAATTAAATCTTTTTCCATTCTAGTACTGACTCCTCCTCCTTTGGATTACAAAAGGCAAGAGTATCTTTACTGAAACATTCGTGCATTTGTCAGAGATAAATTTAAAGACATTACTTGTCCAAGACCAACCTATACTGGCAATGAATAATATATTTAGACTAAAATCCTCTCCATAATTTCAAT